TCTTTCATATTTTCTTTTTCGTAGTGGGAGAAAACCCGGTTATAAGTGAATATATGCTTAGTGTAAAGGATCATCTTCCTTCTCCTCATTGTCTCATCTTTCACTGACCTATTCATCGTAATGAACTACACGATGTAATTAACCGGTAATCGGTTACGGTGATCTCTCGTCGTAGGAACCATTTTCAAAATAGACATTTATATACCATTCGATAGCCCTTTGAAAAGGCTACATTTTCCACTATTTGTATTTGAATTAGGAGTAACTTCGATTTTCCACCTAATTTCCGCCTGGATGCCAACTGTGCGACATCTTCGATTCTCTTTTTCTGTTTGATCATCGACGTCTTCAGAGAACTCAGAAAAGAAATTGTTCAACTGTTGTGCTTTCCACGTTTTGGTAAAGCTCAATTTCCGAAGAACTAAAATGAGCCGCCAGCCGAAACGATTGAATAACTCATTTTTCTTTGAGTAAACGATATTAAAGTTCTCTATATTTCCTAGAACTCGAATGAGTTCTTCTACTATTTCTTTGAAAATCTGATACCGTGTATAGTCGAACTCCAAAATAATGCAATATTACAAACAACCTCTAACTACAGTCGTACTTCTCATAAAATCCGTAATATCTGTGTAATTTGACTATGGAGATGGTAATGCAACTGTTGTTGAGGAGGATACTGTCGTGAACTCTACCACAATTTTATATTAACAACTTGTCAGTCTTCAAACTTATTTGAATGTGTAATATCTGATGCTATTACACTTCAACTGGGTGCTAAACAAGAAAAGATTGAATATTGGCATAATAAATATGCTGCCGATACTCATGAACTCAAAATTCTAGACGAGTTCATGATTCACTCTAATTCAAAGACAGCTATCAACTGGTATACAAAAGAATGTATCTAGTATAAAATGTTAAATAATGCTCTTGAAAATCAAAATGCTGATGTCACGTATAAACTATGTTATTTTACCAAAGCTCAACATCGGCAAGTAGCACAATTATATTTAGAAAATAACACTTTATTAACAAAAAACACTGTTACACCTGGCTCCGGTATAACAGATGCTGAATTTAAAACATTACAAGAAAAATCTGGTCGTCTTTTATGCTTTAATAAAAATTTTTCGACAAGTTCGGATGAGTATATAGCTTTAACGTCGACACCATCAGTATTGAATATACTCATTTAAAGAAAAGACATTAGACGAACGGTGTGTTCAGACACTAATCCGTACATTTAAGACACGGATTCAGCAAATTCAATTCTATTTTGTCCAAAATCAAATACCATGTACAAACGAAGAAAAGACCTTGTCCAAACAAGGTGGTATGGACGCCACCTTTTGATGCAAAACGACTATAACATTTTGTATTATTGTCAGATTTTACTACATAATCTAAACTATTGATCAGAGGTGTGCGGGGCAAGGATTTTTCATGCCCTGCGGGACCCGTCCCGTGACTTCAGCCGCCCTCGTGAACTAGTTTTTTACAGTAGTCCCGCCTCGTCCGTGAATTTTTTTGAGCCACAATGTCCTGCCCGTACCTCGTGGCGGTAGCCGTTCTAACTCGACCCGTGCACCCGTTAATTTCGCGACGGGCTCCGCTCCGTTCCCGTGCAACCCGTGAAAATTTTACCAATCACGAAATTTGATTTTATTCGTCTATCCTGCATCGGACATCAAGTTTTCTCAATAGAAAAATAGTTTGATTTTCGAGTCCTAAAAAAGGACTTATTTGTACAAAAAATCTCGTGGCAATGTTAGTCTTCAGACTAATTTATCTTTTTGAAAGTATTAGTCAATATACTGTTTCTCAACTCTTCAATATTCTTCAAAGAGTGCTTAGAAATCAAAGGTTATTTTACTCAGAGCAGAGAACTCAAATAGTTTTTCAGACACTGCCGTTTTTTACATAACTTTCTGGGATGCTTTATGCTAATTAGATTCAAAGGCTTTGAATAAAAGGTCTTTTTAAAAAATTTTCATAAACCTTTTAACTAGATCAAATTCATAAAATTTCTCAAGATAAAATGATTTTTATTTTCACGATCTCTCACAATTTGCACCTATACGTTGACTGGTTATCTTAAAGCAATTCAAAAAGTTTTTTTAAGACTTATATTTCTTTGATATAAACTTTATTCTTGCAGAAAATACAAGTGGAAAAATTCCATTAGAGTATTCTAAACTAAAACTACCAAAAAATACAAAAACCAATTTTGTACGCATAGAGATTTCGAACGTATGAACTTAAGGGTACCCCTACCCCCTCTTTTTTTACCCTCTTGAAAACCGGGGATGCCGATGTCGGATCGGGGTGAAATTTATAACAGAGATAGAACATCGAAAAAGAAAATCGATGTATTTTTGCACAGAATTTTGTGACATGTTCTTCTATGGGTTTTCATCCAATCATATTACGACCCCTCGAAAAAATGGTCCGATCGAGCTCAAAATTTTACCACAGATACTTCAAGCCCTATTTCAGGTTAGTTTTTTTCTTTTCAAAAAATATGCTTTCCTTCTCGAGATATCCCAAAACTGCTGAAAGTCAAGCAAAAAAATCTGTAAAAAAACTGAGTTTTTTTGCTTGACTTTCAGCAGTTTTGGGATATCTCGAGAAGGAAAGCATATTTTTTGAAAAGAAAAAAACTAACCTGAAATAGGGCTTGAAGTATCTGTGGTAAAATTCTGAGCTCGATCGGACCATTTTTTCGAGGGGTCGTAATGTGATTGGATGAAAACCAGAGTTTTCTAGAAAACCCATAGAAGAACATGTCAGGGGGGTACCCTTAAATCCACTATTTTGTATTTATATTCTATACAATGATTATATTTTTTGTTAATCTAAGTCATATAACATACGAGTTTTTGTCTATTTAGCTTAGAGTTATCAACAGAGATGCCAATTCTCTTTCATGACAGTTTCTAAATATTTAACCAGGTGTTTAACTTCGAGAAATGAGGAGAACAGAAAAATTTGGTCAAATTCACTTTCTGACATCACAACTGACATTTTATGATATTTCTCTTATTACATTTATATTTAGTAGAGCAATTTCTTTTAATCTCCTTCCTTGCGTTAGTTTACCGTTTGACCTGTTTTATTTTTCTGTTTGTCTTTAATAAAAGAAATTTTATGGTCGTTGAAAAATGGAAAAAAATTCTTTAATCTTAAGAATACAAAAAGACTCATATGTTGCATTGAAAGGTTGAGCTAATGTTAAAAAATCTTTTCAAGTATTTAAGATAATAATGATTTATTATGTGAAAAAGATTACTTAAAGAGTTTAGCAGTTGTTCGAATCCATTTTCGAATCTTTTACTAACGTCAAAGCAGTAGCATGTAGATTTACTTTCGTGAACCTTTTTTTGATTCTACAAGCAGTCCGTTTTTATTACAGGCTAAATATGTTAATTTTGTGATAATTGTCTAAATACGCGTTCAGGGGAAAGGCGAATTAATAAAGTTTAGAATAATAAATCGATAAATCCTTATCTGATGCAGTAGACACTATCTCGAATCTATGGTAATAATTCAAGCTCAACTTGTGTTTCGTTACAGAATAACATGCAGTAATAGACGGCTATTTTTCTTCAATTTTCTAACTTTGTAGTTTTTAAAAAGCTTTTCATAAAATAACTTTAAGTTCAATGTTTTCAAAAATAGTCAAATTGAAGATATACCATTTTTACTAGAATCTGTTATATTTTGAGACATTGATATTGCTTGAGTATGATGGATCAAATATTGATATTGGATGTTTTTATATATATGTTGCAGAAATAAATGAAATTCAGAAGAATTTAAAATATTTCTTGATTTATTCCAATAGAAAATATTTTAAATATTCCTAGCAAACAAGTTCTGTCACCTATGTCAATTATTCCTACACACATAAATAAAAAAAGTAATAGTGAATGCATTTAAAAGGAAAGAAATAAAGGCGTCTTAGTAAACAGTTAATAACTAACAGAAAATCTCATTTTACATTGATAATGGAGTTGTTTTACAAGGAACTGGATGATCATGTATCAAAACTCAATAAAAAATTTCGTTCAAAGTTTGTTATTAAAAGTATAATGTACGATGAAATAATTCTAGCTTTGCAAAATGGATGGGTTACTGTAAAATACTCAAAATACTTCCATGTAAAGTAGTACAGTAGATCCCAAAAGGAGCATCCCTCTGTAATCCAAGAATCATAACACCTAGAGACTTCTAATTTTGTATGATCATTGTTCTCACTGATCACGTAGCAAGTTTAGACCTATTTTCCTAAATAGTTCGTGAGATATAAACATTTCATTTCTTTTCCGTAAAATACTAATAACTCCTGATCGATTTTTCAATGTTTCACCTACCGTTTTTTTCCCCATAGATTTCCGTGATTATGTTTTTACATAATTGTGACGCATACTAATCACAGAAGCTATGGTAGAATCGGCGATCCTTATTTGCTCAAGTTCATCATTCGCAGCGAATTTCTGGAACCGTAAAATGATTAGCCTTTATACTTTGACTGAAGCGTTTACAGACACTGCACAGTATTTGCTGCAATTCTGAAATCAACATGATGTTTCTAGAATGAGTTATGAATTTTTTTTCAAAAGGAGCTCATATATCACAGGGTCTCATTTCAGGGATCTCGATTGTAAAATAGCCGCCTTTTAGTAACCATCATCAGCTGCCTCTTCAAAATCATATTGTAAATAGACAAGAATCACGACTATATTTTGGTAAAAAGAAAAACGTTTTGGATCAGGAGTTTGCGGTCTACTGAATCAATAGAATTATCATTTGATGAAAATGTTACATATAAACTGTGTACAGTACAAGGTATTCTACCAAATTGTTACACGACTCCTGTTTTATTAGATTTGAATAAATACAATTTTGAAGATTTACGATCAATTGATTTCACTCTGTTAGGAACAATAACGTTCATCCAAGCATGTAAGGAATATGTTGGTACAAGTTTGGTTGATGCTGAAGCATGTCATTGTAATAGGAAATGTGCTGCTAAATCCTGTTCATGTCGAGCAAAAAATGTCAAATGTGAAACAAAATGCCATCTCAAGAAGGAAGTTTGTACAAATATTTAAACATTATTTTTCTTTGTCGTTCTCAAAAGGTATGTCAAATGTTAAATGTTAGCTAAATATTAATTGTAAAAAAAACAGATTATGTGTATTTTTCAAATAAAAATAAGTGCATATTTCTTGTATTAAAATGTATTCACTATTACTTTTTTTATTTATTTATAAATTTTTTTATTTATTCGTGTAGGAATTATTGAAATAGGTGACAGAACTTGTTTTTTAGAAATATTTTAAATATTTCCTATAGGGATAAATCAAATTTTAATTTGAACTAGTTCATATTAAAATTTTATTTATTCCTGCGACATATACATCTAGGAATGTTAAATATTAGCGGAAATAAAGAGGAAGCTTGAATCAGCGAAGAAGATTATATATCAAAATACGTGTTTCTGAAAGAACTATATTTATTTTGACAATGAGTATACTATCAATTATTATGGGAAAAGGACAATACCACTGCCGAAGAGAAGCAGAGTAGACTCCTGCGGGGCAAACTTTTTTGTTGCCCCGAGCCCTTAAGTCCAAGCCCGTAAAAGTTCTCTTTCGCTCGAACTTGTGAGCCGGATCCTACGAAAAAATTATTTTGTCCCAAAAAAGGGAACCATGGGTTTCCCCGTACAGTTTACTCCGTATATTTAAAACGAGCTGTCGCTGTCGTACGGCTTTGGATAAGGGACGTGATTTTTTCCTTTTGTCCCGAGCCCGTAAGTCCGAACCCAGAAAAATACAATTTGTCCCAAGCCTGTAAATCTTTTTTCTGTCCCGACCCTGTCTGTCCCAAGAAACGAGACGAACAGGATAGAATTCGGGACTGTCCAGAAGGAGTCTAAAGCAGAGAGCCACCGTCATTTTTAAGAGTTAAACGAAAACCCATTTTGTGAATCAAAGAGATACGCTCATCTTCAAAACGTTCCAGCTCACGATGTCGAATAATAAAAGGCGTATAAAGTATGATGCTAACACTGCTATACTTAGCTTTATATTTTTACTTTTGCTGGATTCTGCCTAGTGGCCAACTCCTGCATTTCTCGATATTGTGTGCACAGAATACAAGTCTTTGGTTAAAAACTAAAAAAATTACAGTTTCCGTTCTGTTTGTGCTTAAAAATTAATAGCGTCAAGGGTTAGCTGTTACTTTTTATTCTGATACGGATGGCATAGGTGCTCCATAGTCCCATTGTTGAGGAGCAGTTACACCTGACACACTTGAATTTTGTCGTTCACCAAAATAGTCTGGATCAGTATCACGGTTCGTGTTTTGCCGTTGTTGTCGTAAATCAGTATTCTGACGTTGTTGTCGTAAACCAGTGTTTTGTTGTTGTGGACCGCTATTTGGAGGTCGTTTTGTCTGTGAATTATATGGTGGTGGATAACCGTTATAATATTGTGGGGGTGCCATTGGATACGCAGGATACGCACCGGAATACGGCTGATTCCCTGGAAAAACTGGACTAGATTTTTTCGATTTACACACCTGAACGATTATAATTATGACACAAATGATAGTTGCTAGACCGCTGATACATCCGACAACGATTCCAGTTATATTACTAGCTGAATAACCTGTATCTGATATAGACATTTTTTACTGGATATATTGTGTGAAAAACTGAATGCCACAATATTTTTCGATTTACTGAGAAAAAATCATGACAAATGTATAAAACTCATTTTGTAGTTATTCTGTTTTGTTCTTCAATTTAAACAAAACACGATTTTTTTATTACAAGAATCGATCGATTCCATCTTGCACTTTGGTCAACGAAAAGAAAAAGAGAAAGATTATGCGGGCCTCTTACAGTACGAAAAAATCAATCATTTTATTTTTTCATCAAACATTTCATTCTGAATTTGTTCCTGATGTCGCCATAATCTACATGGTTTTTATGTAAATTTTACTTTTCTCACTGATGGATTACGTCGACGAAAAAAAGTCAGAATGAAATCAGAAGGAATCTGCTGTCTGATTTACGAAGAAATTTTGCAATTGGCACCCAGTTTTAATCTAATTTAGTGCAGCGTAGAGTGAGCATCAACTTTTCTAGCGGGATTCAAGAGATTCGATGTTTCATCCAAACTACCAAGATCAATGTCTCACTCGACTTTCATGTTGAAGACAGATTTTTTTCTGAAGTCATATTACTCATAATTTAATGCTAAATGATAAATGTTTACTTATCATTTGGCTTTTGCTTTCTGCATGTCTGTCGCAATAGCAAAAAGTACATAACTATTGGTTACCGACTGCCATTGCAGCTTCTGAATGTTTAAACTTACATTCAATTTAATGTTAACTCCGTAAAGAAATTATTTTTGCTAGTAGTATCATTTTTAGATACATCCACATCGCGTCGTTCACCAACGAATCGTAAACCAGTTCATAAAGACAGCGTCCTTCCACACCAGTAGCGTGCAGATGTTAATTCAATTAATTTTATAGCTCAGATCACCTTCTATATATAAACCAAACTCAGTCTCTCTTAAGTATGTTATGCTTTGTAAGGAATCTCGATTTTCCTACATGCTTTAAACGACAGTATTAGTCGAAAAATGGTTCATTTTAGAAGAAATATTTACTCAGATAAATACCAATGCGGGCATATGAATCAGGATTTAGCACGATCGAAAAACTCATAAAAATATATATACACATAACGTTTAGATCCACTTGCTTGAGAAATATAGTTCGAAACATAGCCCCTTATTTCTCAAGAACATGACATAATCACAGAACCCAATTTTTAACCTCAATTTCGATCATTGACATAAAAAAATAATTTTCAAATATCCTACTGTCTTTTAGGTTTTCAATGTAAACCATTTGAGAAAAGTTAATAAGCAAAAGTTACGTCGAGTTTTCTCTTTAATTTAAAGCAAGTCCAAGCGTTGTGATGCTTGAAATAGAAAAGTCGTTTTTGTAATGCTGAGATATACGTTTTAAACTTGGAAAAATCCAAGATTTTCAATTTAAATATTTATTGCGAACTTATCTCTATAAGACTAAAAGGTTTCATTATGATCGGATACTTCCTCTAGAAAATAGATATCTGGTCATACTGATTTATAATTCGAACTATTATTCATCACTAAATTCAAGAAAAGTTTCATTAGAATTGAGTAAACGGTACATAATTGTGTTTTTGTTTGCATCACTGATTTAAGTTAAATTCATTAAACAATCATAATTTAAATTAATAGTATTTGCTCACAATGTACAACATTATTTCTACTCTCTCTATTCTTCATAAATATGCTATAACATGAAACATTTTTTTGTCATCACCAATTTGTTATATTTACCAACCTTTTTTATTCTTGTCTAGAATTAAGTCAATGAACTGTTAGTTTATTGCACGATTGTATCTGATAGGGTCCTGTCACTATAATGTATCGTTCTTATACCGTTGTTCTCTCAAATTTCGATAGAAACTGGCTCTGATCAAGAATATAGAATAAATGATTACGTTCTTTTTTAATGAAAGCAGAACACAGAGTCGAATAAAAGATTCAGTCCCGATTCGTCGACACTCACTCTCACACCGCCCCTCCCGCCTTTGAAATTCTTTGATGTATATTCTTTGAAGTGTCCGATTTGTCGACGAATCGGGACGATACCGAATAAAACGTACATTCTCGTAGAAGAGAAAAATAGAGTTTAGATGCAATATGAACCAGCGACGTCTACGCTATGATACATTTAAGAGTTGAAGCCTCAAATGAAAAAAATGAGGTATACTTGCTACTATGTCAAGTTTAGTGTGAGCGAGAGAGTTGAAATTAACGTATGAAGAAGTGTATTTTGTGGGGAAATAGACAGTGGTTTTCGTTAAGATTAGAAAGTGAAATATTTGTAGAATATACAAGTTGGACGCTGCGACTTTTTCTCGTGGATTGAATATTGAAACAAATTTGCAAGTTCCGAGCACATTATTGTTTTTAAGATTAATTATAGAAAGTTTTCATATGATGGTAGTTTTGAAACGCTTCCACATTATGATACAATAAGCGCATGCAACTGTTATTGTGCAAAATGTTTTTTTGCAGATAGTATCTTGAACTGTTAGTTTAAACAACCGCAGTGCATCCTTCAGAACAGAATTCAGATAACGGCTTTTCACCTAAATTTTGAACGAAAGTGAATAGCGATTTGTGTTTTTATATCATTACTTGAATAATTTATTCAACAAGGAGTACTACATAAAACACTTTTTCTTCATCTACTATTCTTACCCAAGCAAAAAAATGCCTTTGAGAAAATCTAGCTATAAAAATATGCTATCGCACAATATCGGCTTGTGATATCCAGCTATTTGTATCACTTTTATTGAGTCAGCTAGCTAGATTGCCCGATAATCGATATTTTTTTTTTGCTTGGGATAATAGGGTGGCAACATATTTAGCACAACAAAACCATTATTACAGCATCTAATAAACAGATATTTGTTTAAGACAAAATGAAAACAAACATGGGTTTAGATTTCCTCAAAAGCTTTGAGAGTCTCATACATACGTTTGAGCATAATGTGCTACTGTCATGTTTTCTATTTTAGAAAGTTTATCAAGCACAAACAGATACAATTTATGATCTATTTTAATTGTATAGACAGAGAAATTAGTACTAGAGCTTATAGAATGCACTATTCTTTTTATGTTCGTCTCAAATTTCTAGAAATATCACTCCACTTGATTGCCTCCGCGGTCTTGACTCCATTGATAGCCTTCGTATTGAAGCCATTTTGAAATGTTTTCAATAAAATTTTTAGCATATATTAGTTTCGACCATTCTTTCGGTAACTGTTTCTCACCATATGTAGCACCGGCTAGCTGACCGTAGATGGCCGCTACGGTATCCGTGTCATCGCCTAAGTTGACGCATTTCAAAACACCGACATGAAATGAATCACCATCATTGTAAAAAGCCCATAGAGCGGCTTCTAATGCTTGTTCAGCCATAACACTTGCTGTTATTTCATTTCGATCTTTTGTTTGATATGAACCTTCAGCTACACGAACGATATCGGGATGTAATGGTTCACTGCCATACCAACCAGCGTTCAGCTTTAGTTCGTAAAATTTTTTGTCTAGCAAATCGTGCTTTGAACGACCATTAAGAGCAGCGTATAGTAAAGATCCATAGAAGCGGCATGCATCTATTGCTTTTTTTCCAGCATGAGTTATACGGGAACTCTCGCCAGCATAATGAATCGCATAAGTTGCTGATTTCACTTGACAATAGAACAACGGCACAGGAGCTAGACGCATCAATGAACCGTTACTGTCAATATTTTCCCGACTACACTTAGTGTCAAATTCTTCTAATGAAGTTTCAGATAATAAATCCAATTCTTTGAAGCCAATGTTCAAGTTCTCTTTGAATTTGTGCTGTCTATTAACAAATTCATCTAGTGCTGCTTTTGTTGAATGTCCGATATCAAAACATCTTCCAGTCGATGACATGTAGCCTTGTCGCCACCACCATTTATATCGAACAAGTTGATCGTAAGCAGCAAAACCTTTCTTCACGATAAGACTCGATGCCAGACACAGTGTCATTGAGGTATCATCCGTCCATTGACCAGCTTCTAAACCCCACGTGCCTCCCCCCTGCAGATTTTTAACGGGATTTTCATCTAAATAGACTCTTGGCCTAAATTCGATGTGTGCGCCTAACGCATCTCCAATTGCCATTCCAAGCATTGAACCATAAATTTTATCGAATAATACATTATTAGCTACCGGTGGAGGATCATCAAAGCAAAGATCAGCTGGCTTTATTAATGGTTGGCTTATGTTTAACCAATCTGATGTGAGGCGCTGTGGTGATAATTCTGATTGATTTTCTTGTTGTTGCGGTGATATTGCTTGTTGATTGCCCATGTAACTATAAGTTTGAGACTGTAGTGCAGTAGTTTCGCTCTTGAAACGACAAATAAAACACATCAGTATTTGAATGAGACACTTAATAGTAAAGACACTTAAATTGCAATAGTGATTTTTCAAGACAATTTCTCAGGCACTGCAACAAAAGATTCATTCCAGTTTTTATCTTTTTCATGGCATCCAATAGAATATGATAAAATTCAGGTAGTTCATATGTTTAATAAAATAAACTGTTTTATAAAGTTAGTCTAATCCATTAATCGGAAATCTTATTGCCTCCGTGAATGCAATGATGCTATAAAATCTCATCGATCCTCGAGCTTGTTTGTTCTGTTTGATAAAGAACATTACGTTCTGGGGTAAATCCAAAAATAGGAGTAAGGTCTCCAAAAATAAGCCCCTGACTCTCCGAGCTCATGGTGAAGTATAAATAATTGATGAGCATCGCTCATTAAGTTTGCCTAAACGTTACATTTGCTGTAATTTTCTCAGATGTAGGCGGAAAAAAATAGAAATTAGTCATCTAGGTCGGTTAAGAAAGCTTCTTCAAAGAGCACATTTAATATCAGTTTTCGGAGAAAGCAGCACTTTAGTATTCGAAAAAACCAAAATCGGAGTAAATCATCGCTCAGGTTTCTCCGAAATTCGGAGTAAATCATTCTTATCTTTTCTCAAATTACGAGTAAACCGTTCTTGATTTTATTCAAAATCGGAGTAAATCAGTCTCCGAATTTCTCCAAAATTGGGAGTAAAGAGCCCATGACTTCCTCCAAAACGGGAGTAAATGGGTCTTGATTTTGTTCAAAATTGGAGTGAATCACTCTCCGAGTTTCTCCGAAATGAGAGTAAATCGTTCATATTTTTTAAAAAAGTATGAGGGGGTACGTCCTCCCCGGTCGAACCGCCACTGGATCCAAGACAAAAACTTTTGGAGACGGTAGAAGTACTGTGTAGAGTAAAATCAATACCAGTTTATTCTGCCCTAGGGATTTTACAAGCCCAAGCTCCGGCCTGGGCCGTGGTGATGGAAACTTAGGCTTGAGTAAGACTTGGCAGGCTTGGGTCTCGAGCTCAAGTTAAGCTCGGACTTGGTAGGCTTAAGCTTGAAAGAAAAATGTTACAAAACATTGAATAACAAACCCGTACATTGTTCTTAACTGTATTTTTTCAAAGAGCCGCGTTATCTTGTCATATTTTCATAGTTATCAGCTATTCATTATGAACCTACCGCCATGGTCGATGACGTCATAGCTTTTAGTCGCCAGAAGCTATCTTTTCTGTGGCAAAATTTTATTCAGTGAGATCTGTTGCAAATAAATACTATTTATTACAGCTATTCATGCTATTGGTTTGGTCTGGAAAAAAATTAATAGAAAAACAGTGCATTTGTATGTTAGAAAGAACACTTAACCAATCAAGACTTCCAATCATGACTTACTGCTGTGGAACAGTAGATTAACACAGTAGAACAGTAACAATAGACTAAAAAATCAAGAAGGGAAGCACTTTTTTTGCCGTTGGCGGGTAGTTCATTCGCTGTTCTCCGTTGAGATGTTTCACATAGTGTGTGAAGCAGAAATTACATATGCGCTATTATGAGAAGGAATAGTTCATTGAATTTACGCAATATAGTGATATGTACGTACAGGGGGAAACTTGCGCACTTTAACAACGTTATTATTTTGGCAAAAGATGTCGGAGCAATGCTACTTTTGAAATTATATTTGATCATATCTGGCAAAGTGTGAGTTCAGAATTAGCCTTCCGTTTGTCTGCCTATCACGGAAGAAAAGAACGTTCTCCACTTCAAGAGAACCAATGCCGTTATCTGTGTTCTTAAAAGTTAACTTCAAAAACAAGAAGACACAGGGAATTAAACAGCTGTTATCTTCTTTTGCTATACTCATTATATATTTTAATACGGTATTTGTTTTAGTTAAGATATAAGAGGAACAGTAGTTGATTTTAACTCTTCTTAAGAAAGCCCAAATTTTCTTTAGATATGATTGGATTCTCATTGAAGAGTCGATGAACAACGATACTTAGTTTTCCCTTGGTAGAAAGAGTAGTATATGACTTTTTGGCGAAACAAAGCAATATATTTCCGCTAATGATTTGTAATAAAGCAACCTTGATGGCAACGAATTCGAATCTCAGCCAACATTCGGGAGATGAAAAATAATACAGATGTGCTAAATGATATAAAACTGAATTGACAACATACGACTTCGTTGTTCAGTATCTTCCAAAAAAATTTCTGTCTAGGTCAAACTTGACACAAGTTCAAGTCTTCTAAGGCCAAGTCCGCGACAAACCCAAGCCCAAAAGACGATCCAAGCTCTAGTTTACCAAGCCGAATCGCCTGAGCTTGTAATATCTCTATTCTCCCCTTCTGGTTTTCAATTCAAGACACTCTAGTACATGTTAGTTTAGTATTTAGTTGATTTATTGAAGCAGAAGGCATTTTTTATTCATAGATCTGTACTAATCAGGTTTGGGCTCAATGAATTGAAATATATATTCGTCTCTTGAGTATATAATGTCTCTCTAATAGTAACTATTGAAGGACATATTGAAGCAAAATATTTTAGTTCTCGTCTACTTTCACTAACACATAAACCATACATTCTTACTTTCCTATAAAACTTTATGCTGATGAAAAATACGCGGGTGTATAAAAATGCACCCACATATTCTTGCTCTACGGACGTTGTTAATTCTTTTATCGAAATTGATTTAAAAAAGACAAATATAAAAAAAAAAGCTTCTCTCCCACAGAATTATGTATACGTTATTCATGTCTCTGTCACCTTTCTTAAAGATTACATGTTACTTTTTCTTTTCAAGTACTTACCTGTATATAGGCACACAAATATAAGGTAAGATAGATTGAGTACAAGTGAGAGCCAAAACGTTAGTTATAAACAACTTTCATAGTATAGCAGCTATTGATTTATTTCCCAATAGCTCGAAATATATTTGGTTCATTATCAAGAGAGTATATACAATCAATAGAGAAAAAGATAACTGAATGCATGTATAAAAATTTAGTGTTAGTTTAAAAAAAAGGAATAAAAACAATGGGTTTTCGTTCATATCAAACCAATTCGGATGAGTGCCATGGGAAACAAAAACCACATCATTTTGAAAATTCTGCGAACTATTTCTCTGCCTTAACCGTTGCAAAGAATTTTCGATGGTTTTGAAAAGAAGTTGTAGTAGAGATTCTTTTTGAGTTTTGAGTGGTGTAAAAGACATTGTTATGTGTCATAAGACATAGGATTGATGGTAAAAAATATTTCTGTTGTTCATTCTGTAATTATATATACATCCATGATACGCAAATGAAGTGAACTCCATTTATACAGTTATTACATTAAAACTGTGTTCTATTGTAATCTGATTTTATAATCCATATTATAAAAATTTTCTTTGAGGAATATAACATAAAAGATGTTGTATATTTTATTGATATATGCCACGCGCATATGCCTTCTTTTCAAACATTTTGTATCCAGTTGTTTGAACGTCGATACGATTTCTACTGTGTAAAACTGTCTGATATACTCAGAGATACTCAGTCTTTTACAGTATCAAAGTGCTCTCTAAGAATGGCGAAGAAAGATTTCCTGATAACTGCAGAGACACCATGAAAAGACAATAGGAGGAGAGAAGCAGAGTCATTGCAAATTTCATAACTTTGCAAAATATTGTCTCGTTTCCGGCTCCACAACTTTTGAAAGTAGCAGTGAATTGTTCTCAAATGAGAATAAAGCAAAACAGGCAAATGATTACATGGTAAATTTCGTATAGAATTCAAGGAAATACTTCCAATTTCCGAGTAAACACTATAAAACAGAGAAGGTTAAGATCGCGAGACTTCTAGACAACTGTTGCAGAAATAAAAATAAAATGAATAGAAAATTTGATTTATAACAAAAACTTTCGCATAACAATTTCTTGCACATTGAAAGTTTTAAATTTAGATTCATCAATTATTGCCTAAATATCTGAAGAAAGGGGACTCTGTACTGGCATGGGGTCAGGCATGGGCGAGTCTGAGCCCGAACTGGAAGATGTTTTGCCGGACTCGAACTTGAGTTTTTGTATTTCGAGTCCGATCTGTTCAACTTTTAACACAAATGAACAAAGAAAAATGAAAAGCGAAAACAACACTTTCTGTTTCACAAAAAATTGAAAATTTTGTTCGGAAGACGGACATACAAAGTGACCTTATTTTGGAAAAATCGAATATCCATCCAAGATTCAGTAAATTAAAAAACAGAAATAAAGCACATTCATCAAAAAGAATCTAAAAGATTACTGAACTCGAAACGGGCTGGAGATCTGCATGGGATAAATCCCTCTACATCTGCAACATACCCGTACTGAATGATATCTCAAAAAGATAATGGAGTGCGAAGAAATGACGTAAGCATTAAGTATTTAACCGAAGTATTGTCAGTTCCCACTGATTTTTTGTTTTTTAACGAAATGATGCACTGGGAGCACCATACACATCAAATATGATATCAGACAGAAAAGTGAAAGAAATAGAACTCTTTGGTAACGAGATCAGTCCAAAGAGCGTCCACTATAATGAGCGCGCTGACTTTCGATCTTGCCGAACATTGGCGAAATATTCTTCTATGTGTATCACATCTATATCATAGTATTGACGCAAAATAACGCACTCTTTTCTAGACTTTACTGTAGAATGTCGAAAAAAAGCTTTCTGGGATTTATTTTTCGAAAAGTTTCACCTAGAGTAAATTTCAACTTCTTCAGACATTTTTGATCAAATACTTTAGACAGTATGCATAAAAAGATTAAGCAAGTAGTTGATTATAGATAATCGACGATGCTGATTTCGAATATGATAGCCATCTGGACTCTTATTGATCATCCAGCAATCCAAGGTTTTCTGGAAACTCTAAAATCCAAAACTTTTTCTGACGCAGTTCCAACAATGCTAGACTGCAGAGCATATCGAGTTGTATATATTATACATAAATTTTTAGTTTTATCTGACGTATTTTAACTGAATTGTGAATTTATTATTTTCAACTGGTGGTAGCGGTTCACAAGAAACCGTTAATTTTTTAAATGATTTTTAGCGCCTCTAAAACATGTCTGATGCAACTTAAAATTGATGGATATGCAGAGTTTGACATCCTCTGTAATTTGGTATAAGGAAGTAAAATTTGAACTCTTTGAGACTGAAGGGTTTGTCTTTCAAGTTTTGGACTAATAAAACAATAAGAGCCCAAATGGCTATCATATTCCGAATCAGCATTATCGATTACCTATAATCAGCTATATTTCGGTCAAAAAGCGAAGGGACACTTGGAAACCCGAATGTTATTTACCCCAAATTATTATTTATCTTGTGTTCAAAAATCTCATAAACAGAACGATCTCGCTTGTATTTAGAAGATAGCTTTAGCAAACGATGTGCAAACGTCTCATTTTCTCGTGTATATTTTAGTCAGAACTCAAGAACAAAACAGGCGATGTTGCCGAACCATATCGTGAGTTGATGAAGCGTTTGATTCAAAGGATGAGCGTAACCGTAAGTAACCACTTAAAAATGATGTACAAATCAAGGGACACTTGGACAAACACAAAATTGCACACAAAAACATGTTTTTACTGTATAACAAATGAGCGATTGATTGAAAAAGTGAAAAAAAAAGGATTTTCAATCGAGCGAGATTACATACGTGATAACGATAAATTAACTTTGTCATATTTTGTTGTTAAAATATTTCAATTTCTTAAATTGAATAATTTTTATATTAAGCTGTATTTCGTAGACCTGCAGCGATGCCTGCCATTGTGACCATCAACGCTCGATTAATGTCAGATGAAACATTTTTATTTTCTTTATCTTCTTTACGACAACGATGTAGTAATTCAGCTTGTAAACCATGCAATGGATCAATATAAGGATTTCGAACCATGATTGTTTGATACAATAACGGTGCGTGTTCAAGCAACTGCTGTTGATCAGTAATATGCAGTACAATTTTGTTCAGATTATCCAAACGTTGTCGAAGTTCCTTTCCCAAACGTTTCAATGATGGTTCATTGACCAAACGTTGTTCGTAATATTCGGTTATTTCAACATCTGCTTTCGCTAACACCATTTCAAGCATATCAAAATACATACGAAAAAACGGCCATTGTTCGATCATTTCGCGTAAACACTCGAGTCCACCCTCTTGTTTGAGTCCTAAAATTTTTTTAAATTTGAAAATAAGCCTTGATAGCAGCGAGTGATACTCACTGACGTCAAATGTTTCGGTACTTCCAAGCCAAGCAGGTAACATCAAACGAATTTGTGTCCACGCAAATATCCAGGGAATGGCGCGTAATGTTTCAACGCCACCGCCTTGTTTTCGTTTAGCTGGTCGAGAGCCTAACGGTAATCGTGCCAACGCTGCTAATGGCGTAATTGCATGAAAATAAGATACAAAATTGGGATCTTCACGAACGATGCTATTGTAAACATGATGCGCACGACTAAAAGAGTGACCTGTTAGTAATTGTTGAGATTAAAACTCTGCTTAAAATATTACTCTGCAAGTTTGTTCATTTCTTCTCTCCAAGTTGATTTCGGTTGTGGTAATGGTAATAGGGAGGCTTCGAGTACTGCACAAACATAGATTTCCATCGAAAGTACAGCGACACCAGCTTGCCCAAATTTAAAACGAATCATTTCACCTTGTTCGGTAACACGGATATTGTTATTGACCGAGCCAGGCGGCTGTGATAGAATTGCTTAAATATATCGTAAAATGTACTACAAAGTATACGCTAATATGGCGGAAAAAAACACTTACCCGCATGAGCTGGACCACCACCTCGTCCTACGGTACCACCTCGACCATGGAAGAGTGTTAAGGTAACATTTTGTTCCTTGCATATTTCGACAAGTCGCTCTTGCGCCCGATATTGTGCCCAAGCTGCGGCTAATTGTCTAGAGCAGGTTAGAGAACATTATGATTTTAAATTATAATATCGATGTACTCTGAAATATTTATTCATAACTTTTAGTTTAATCAATTTTCCAGTAAAAATTTAAATTTTAGGATCTTAGAGATATTCCATTTTTATGAATCAGACATTTTTGCACAAAAATAGCTATAGAAACATCGATTGGAAAGTGTCACATCAATCGCATAAGATACCAAATAACGAATTTTTGCAACTATTCTCATATCTTTGCTTTATTTCAAACGGTCAATCTAACACGATGTTTTTTGTTAAAATGTATTTGTTTTTTTAAAAATGTACACTCCATGCTTACATCTCGGTATGTGTATGAGTTTTGTGGTAATTAAGTGAATGTTTGTGAGTAAAATATATTTCGCAGAAAGCATATTGGACGTCGAACTTTTTAGTAAGAATTATTTGAAAAATGCATCATTTGGTTTAAGACTTTTGTCATGGACTGCAAGTGTAAGATTAGTTTTTCTGCTAAATGTATTTTTTTTCAAAATAGTGAGTGGATCTAACGGGTGTACCATAAAGAATGGGTATTTTGTATTTCCTCAATAACTCCGTCCGTTTTGATCGAATCGAACTAATTTTTTTAAAAAGATTCATCGTTCAGTTTTCTATCAAACCATAAAAAGGTTTTTGTTCTAAGTTCAACATTAAAAAAGTTATTGTAAAAATAATGAAGAAGCCCAATATGTCCAACTTTCAAGCCCAATATTCAATATCTTTGCGTTTGTCCTCAAAGTTACGGAACGGAAAAAAAATGTAAGTCAGCTATTTTGTAGAGTTTTGAAAACTCTATCTTTCTAATGTGTTTCAAAATTTTCAGAGCAGAATCCTGTCGCACAAAATTTGCTTTCGTTTTTTCGTATGCTTCAAAAAACACCAAGTTCAAACGGTGGTTTGGGCTCTTCTCGGAAAATCGACGCAATTCGACCGAAATACAACCGTTTGAGCCAAAGTTTTGTTTGTTTGAAATATCAAGAGTTGTATTACGAGAAGCCATGCTTAGGTCAAACAAAAACTACTTTTTTTCAAACGTCAAGACGAAAACCATCAGTTTTATACCTGGCAGGCTAAAAATAGATTTTGCTTCACCGGTTTTGAGCGAAACGTCTATTCTTTTATACGATTAGAAAGAGCACAGTTTTTTGTACAGTAAATCATAATTTAATATTTTTTCAGATGAGCTTTATTGCCGAAAAAAAAGGTATAACAGTTTATATATTCGAGCTTGAAAGTTAGACATGTTGAGCTTCTTCATTATTTTTGATGATAATGATTCTCTAATTCTGTGCAATTTTTAAAAATAATCTGACACTGCTTAACCGATTCATAGAGATGTTAGCCGATAGACTCTTCGTCGTCATCGGCGTGAAGAACGCAAAAGAAATTTGTAATCGGGGACGGGGATGTAGGGTTTATTTCCTTAGAAATTTGCTGCGGTGGGGGCGTGCTAACACCTCTACAGGTTCATGCTTATTTTGTTTAATAAGTCTACCAAAGACATATAGTGAGAATCTTTTTGGTATCTTCCTGATATTTTAATATGGATTCTAATAAATCATTCACTTTCTGAAAACTGGCAAAGTTTAAAAGCACAACTTTTCCGGACTTAAAGTCCTACCTATAACATTTCTTAGTGTTTTCAATATATGGAAAAGATCTGGACTAATCATGAAATTGACAATGACAAACTTACCCTGCATCTTTGGCTGAATCTGAATAACCGATCATTACCTCTTGACGATCGTTTATGAGACTACGATAGCCTGGTAAACCTAATAGCTGTTTGATCACATCTCCCGAACGATTCAAATCTTCAAGTGTTTCGAATAATGGTGCGATCGGCTAAAGTATTCGGACTATTGAAGATAATATTACACTATTCGTCAAAAGTTACTCACCAGTCGTACATCACCAGCCATTTCTTTCATTAACAACGCTACTGTTAACACATCAGACGGTTGTCTAGCCATCGAAATAACATATGTTCCTAATCCTTCAACACGATCCTGACTAATGATTTTAAATGTTTTCAGTACTTCTTCAGATTCGGGCGAACATTTCCATCGATACGGAATTAGTGGACGTTTTGAACCGAGTTCTTCTAGTAAGAACGTCTGTCGTTTATCTTCATCCCATTGAGTATAATCATCTCCATATAAATAATCGATCAATTCTTCAAGCACTTGTGAATGACGAGATGATTCTTGACGAAGATCGAGTTTAGTCAGTGTTACTCCAAAACAAGCGATTCGTCGCATCGTATCCAGTAGAGCACCATTAGCAAGTATATCAAGATTAGATTCACATAACGAACGATAACACAGTAGTAAAGGTGTGTGTAATTGTTCTCGCGTTTTGATCACCGGTATATCCGAGTGAAATTGTTTGCCTTCTAGTTGAGCTTTGATCCAAGCACGCTGAAATATTCAAGAAAGCTGACACAAACAACGTATCATCATTCGGTCGCAATATTCAGCTGTACTTGTGAAAACTACTGAGAATGTTTTTTCAGAAAGAAAGTCAAAATATTTTTCATTAATAAATATAAAAGTAAAATAATAGACCAGAACACGGACTATAGTCCATATTCTTCATAATAGACATGTATCAATCTGATAGTTCGCCCAGTGAACGGTTAAGTACCGTACCGGACATTTTCAGCCTAGAAATATTATGTGATCGAACTTTGCTTCATTCAAAAGCTTTGTCCTCTTCTAGTAGAAAGGATGTGCTTTAAAAAGCATTATTGTTCTCATAAAAAAGAACGATTTTTTTAGCAATTAATCAGCAAACATGTTCGGATAAATAATATTTCTACACCAAACATGTTCGGTACGAACTGCCCAAGTGAAAAAAAATGAGCTAGGAATGGGGAGTTAAGCTAATATGTAATCTAAACTAGAACCAAACGGTTAAGTTAGTTATTCATATAACGGAAGGTTGTCTACTAGGTTAACTGAGCGATCAACCGACCGATCAAATTAGGTGTTGTTATATTTCTACTCGCTGATGGTAACCTAGTGCTAGGTTCGCTACTAGGTTGAAGCTAGCTAACTGGATAAAAAGTACATTTTTAGCTAGCTCCATCAGGTGAATAACCGCTCGATTATATAGTCAATGGAGCCAGGTTTTCTGCAGGAGTATTTTTCCTTGGACGTTCGGTGCCGATCAGCGAACCCTGACTCAGATTGTTGCATGCCTATTCCATAATAGTTCGGACGTCTCAGTCATACTATTTTGGTCCATTAGGAAGTTAAGTTTGTTTTGTTACTAATGTAAAAGTTGGGAGGAATTACAATGTCTCTTCTTTCTACCCATAAGCCCTTTATGGATGAAAGAAGGCAATTTAATATCAAAGTAGAAAATCGTTGCCGGAATAAATCTACACAAGTTTCTAGGAGTGCCTGTATGCATTCGCCGTGGGTTTTCTATTTGAGAAATCGCCAAAAAATGTGTGTGTCGATTTTCCAGAATATTGTCAGAGTTTTTCGAATCTGAGAATAGGGATTTTCTAAAAAATTCGTGAACATTTTATGGGAAATCGATCGAATTTTTAGAAAATACGTCTGTATTTTTTGAAAAATGAGCGCCAAACATCTGAATTATAGAAAATTTGATTTTCTTAAAAAAGAAAAATCGCCAATGAATGCCTATAGGCACTCCTAGAAAATCGCTCTTTTTTTCTATAATGTATTTTCTACTTTACAGTGTAGTGGATTTGTAAGTTATAGACTTAAATGATTTTATTTACATTTCATAGCCTTGAGTCGTTGATTTGTACATCATTTTTAAGTGGTTACTTACGGTTACGCTCATCCTTTGAATCAAACGCTTCATCAACTCACGATATGGTTCGGCAACATCGCCTGTTTTGTTCTTGAGTTCTGACTAAAATATACACGAGAAAATGAGACGTTTGCACATCGTTTGCTAAAGCTATCTTCTAAATACAAGCGAGATCGTTCTGTTTATGAGGTTTTTGAACACAAGATAAATAATAATTTACCGTTGCTTTCCACATCGATAGTTCGTTCTTGAGCTGTGCTAAATCCTTTAGGTAAAGATCAGCTGCTTGCCATCTACTTTGTAGTAATACTTCCTGGGTAACATCGGCGGTAACATTCGGGTTTCCATCACGATCACCACCCATCCACGAAGCAAATCGAATTGGTGTAGCATCGAGTGGTAACCGTTCACCAGTCGACTCAAGTAATAAATGATCAAGATCGCGGTAGAAGTCTGGTACCGCTTGCCAAAGTGAACTTTCAATAACAGCAAAACCCCAACGAGCTTCTAAAGTAGTCAACACATTATGAGTAATATGTAATAAAAAGCACATATAAAAATATAGATTATTGGTCAAGGCCTTTTTATTTTTAAACAATAATCTTTATTACCATCGACTGGTGTTGGACGTTCACGACGAAATTCATTTGTATGCCAAGCTTGATTAATCAATTCTTCAAGACGTCGTCGAATACGTTCTGCTCTTTCCGGATGATTTTCATTGTTTGTTTCTAATTGTCCAAGACAATCATCAATCATGTCGTATGTTTGAATTAAGGTTCGACCTTAACAATCTTACATTAGACTTCATAATGAAATGTCAAAATTAAACTCACGTATCACTTCTGTAGGATGAGCAGTGAGTACTAGTTCGATACGCATTGTTGCCAATGTATCTAGTACTTTGCGTGGATTATGACCAGCTTCACGGATACGATTCAGTACGTCGATAAGACGAGGACGTGTTCCTGGACGATAATCTTCGATACGTCTGAAACGTGCGCGATGATGTTGTTCGGCAATATTTGACAAATTAAGAAATTGATTAAAAGCACGAGCAATAGGAAACAAAAGTGGCTCGGGCAAACTACGAAGATACTCAATTAGTTTTTCACGCCCTTCTGGATGATCTTGACGATCACGTTTGGCATAAGAACGAATTTTCTCGATACGATCAACAAATTCTTCTCCAAGATCATTGGATATTGCTCGACCAAGATTGTCACCAAGAAGACGCACATGCTCACGAAGTGAATGGTGAAGTGAAACATTCCCTTCTTCATCGAGTGATGATGACGATGGTAACACAGATGGCTGTTTTGTTGTCGAATGAGATGTTGAGCGAGTCCACACTAACATATTTATGAATAAAAGCACAGATAAGGATAAAGTGATGAATATTAAAATTCAGATAGGTGTAATAGCATTTTTCTAATTTCATTTAATCAGTAGGACAGAAAAGTTGTCATATTAATCAAAAATATTTATATACATGTGTTAAACATGTTTCATCTACTATGTGCATAAGACTATAAAAAAGAAATCAGGTAAATTTCAAACGTTTTTCTATTAATCGTAGTATTATTTATCCCATTATCCTACAAAGTAAGAGGGAACGCGTATGTATCAGAGATTGTCACGAGCCGGGCCTACATTTTTGAATCTTGTTTACGGACCGGGCTGCAATTTGATGGCCCGCATGCGAGTTCAGCCTTTTTCCCAAAAAGTTGATAAAATTACAAGACAACATCGAAAGGTAGCACTCATATTGAATGTAAGAAAAAGATATTATCTTCTTTTGAAAATGTCGCTGACGAAATTGACTGTCCTTTGATTATCTGTTCTAGATACTACTAAAGCTACTTGCTAGGGTTTCTTTTTTTCGGGTTATTTTGTTCTCGGTCAGTTAAATGACTGTGAAATTTTGAATGATGAAATTCCATCGATGGTAAATCATCCCACCAAATGGTTATTATTGAAGCAAAATGGGAGATGCTTTTTCTCTTTGTAAGTTCTGACCATATCTGGTAATACTATAGGCGTCATCTGTCCAGTTATGTTGTAAAACATAATCGGACAAACTAAACGAAAACACAAAGAGATCAACAAATTTCATGTTCCTATAAGCTTATATCTACTTTATATTACCGAAATCCAGCGCTTTTAATATCTCCTATATTTCCATGCTCATTTAGATTCTATGGGCTACCCCGCGGGGCGGCCCGTAGAATCTAGAATGCATTTCGGGCCGCTTCAAAAAATGTATGCGTTCACTTCGGACCGGGCCAAAATTCTTGAGCCCGGACACGGATCGGATCGTAAAAACGTAGTTCGGGACGATCTCTACTATGTATAACAACTTTTTATGAATCATCGAATTGATTGAAAAAAGTATGCACTTTTTAGAGGAATGAAGAGTATAAAAACAATTGCGAAAATGAATGCTTTTATCGATTTATTTGTATCTTAAATTTCTTATTGAAAAAAGCTATGTTTGTAATCGTTGTTTCGAATGAGAATATATTATGTTGCATCCAAAATTAGAAATCAGATTACATTGGAGTCCCAGTTTGGATTACATGAGTTTAGAATGATTTATTTTTAAGTTTTAAACATTATTTCATGCTATTATTGTACTATTAATAAACCTGTCATATTTCTTCACATACACAATTAGAAAGAATTTTGGCATTTATCATCACACAGGATTAAAAATGAGAATTCTCATATTATGAACATTGATTCGATAAAAACGAGACGCTGTTGATGTTTTCAGTAGATCTTCCAATAGTCTCTCAATTTTTTTCAATCAATCCTCGTGAATGAGAATTCTCATATCTTTTGCTCATTGTCCCATTATGACATCAAATACTATTTCCTTTTTATGCAGTCAATGCGCCATAGATGTAACTGGTCAAGATCTTCTCGACCGGCCCGCTTACCGGTCGAAAAATTTCTTACCGGGCCAAGCCGGTCAGTTGGTCGATCATATATTTTCCTAGTGTAAGTGTAAAAGCCTAACTACAGAGGAGTGCTAAGGCGTCTGGAAAAACGTCCATGGCTTCCGAACCATGGATTTCCAAGATGTCCCTTAGATCCAATTTTGTAGAGGACACTTTGGACTATATATGTATGAAAACAAATCCATAGATTTCTATGTTAGCTTTCAAAGAACCGAACTGATTTTCCACAGATCTCCTGAAAAACCGATCTTTGAAATTTTTCCAAACCCGTTTTTGCTTATGAAAGCATAGCCTCAGATCTTGGCTAGCGAATGATGAAAACTGCAAGTCTCTTTTATTCCTCTTGAATTATTCAAAAAATAACCACGGGTCTTGTATTTTAGCGTCAATAATGGTTGAACAAACATTAAAAAAGAAAGAAAAATGAATGGAATATTCACATAGTAGAGATTATCAGTCCTGCTCTCGAACACTGTTGACAAACAAGAGAAAACCAAACTAATTTTCTTCATTTGAAATATGAAAACTTTTGTTTTACTTGACTCAGCAAATTCGTTTTCGACAAATCACTGATTTTTCAGGTAAAAAACCATTTTTTTCCTCGACCAGCTGGTCAAATTAATTTTCTTTCGGTCGATCGGTCAGAAATTCCTGGTCAGACCGAACTGACCGGTTACATCTCTGCAATGCACAGTTGTTAATACAGAGAGAAATTATCGTGTGAAATTCATCTTATATTACATCTATTGGATTATAGAACTGAAAAGAGTGCGAAATGTCTGTTTAACATTTTATAGTGCTCGAATACATCTGAAGAGAGACATCTGTAATTAACTAGATCGGATCAAAATTCAGCGATTCACTAACAAAAGCTTTAGTAAAAGTACAATCTGGACTGAATTAAGTCGCGTTCGGATACAAAGTTCTCAGGTCAGGTCGGGTACGTGTGAAAAAAAATTTTCAGGCTTGGTACAGGTAGGAAAACGGTACCCGTGCACACCTCTAATCCTTAATCTAAAACTCTTTATGGATACGGTACGAAAGACTGAAAAATATCAATATTAAGCTTTTAAAAAATTAAATGAAGGAAAATAATGCTGAGAGTAATTTGACAAAATCGGGAAACATACTCACTCATAAAATCTGGAGAAAATAAAAACTTCCGCCCATTTGTTCGAGCGTGACTACGAATTAAATACGTCACTGGACCAGTTATCGACATGACAAATCTAAAACTTTTAGATAGATAAAAGCTGTATGACCCGAAAGTATAACTTGAAAAGGTCTGCTGTAGTCTTTAAAGAATAAAAATGAGACTTTTGTTCAAGCTAATGAAAAAAGCACTGCTATCAGAAACAATGTAGAATTAAAAACCCATCGTTGCACTGAAATTCGATATCCAAGTGAGGATGATGTCATGCACGATAAAACCATATTACAATGCCATACTTTTATTGTACCAATTTCACAATTATTACTTGTTGTTTATTCAAGTAAATAAAACAAGTTGATATTTGTTGTATCCTTGTTTCATAAAATTTAGTTTTTCACTAATTGTAATGTAAATACTTCTAGCCGAAGTGATCTACATATGGGGTAACCGGAATTTCGCCAATAGGACATTCGCCAATGGCGAAAGTACAGGGGGCGTATTGGGGAAAGTCTTATTTGGCGAGATTCTAGAACTCCTACACGTGTTCGTCACAAGAAGCTTATAAATCAGAAAAATAGTATAGCTCCAATTTATTCTTATTTATCTTACATAAAACACGAATTATGGTTAGAAAACATGTGCATAAAAGCGGCTCAAAATTTTCAGAATAAATTAAGTTCCAACTCTCACAAAAATCAAAGAAAATTTAAGAGTGTTTATCTGTTTTATCCCATGGAGTTCAGACTTTTTTATATACTCATAATTCGAGTGTTTATTTAACTTTTCTATGAACTAGCAAGCAAGTTCAACAGAGCTGTTCAAAGATAGCATGTGAATTAAAGTGATCAGCGTATATTACACAGTGACACACAAAAAAGAGTAATCTAGAACGAATCCTACACTAAATTAAACACAAAGTTTATTTTCTATGTTATGAAAATAGTGATACAATTATAAAGAATAACCGATTGTATAAAATAAAACCATTCTTTCGGTTTTTACGACAGTATAATAAATTAGCTCGATTTGGATACAAAAAAAAATGGGTTAAAAAAAGTCAAAGAAAATAAATAATTCAAATCTGTTTTGCTTTAATTGAACAACTTCAAGTTCTCATGGCTATCGAGTAATTAATGACAATCACTTTGAATTTTTTATTTTTAACGACAATAATTTCAATGAATTAAAGTAAAAATGCAGATATACATAATTTAATCACTATTTATGACGTTTTAATCTTTATGATCTTCATGTAGTAAAAATTCACACATAATAAACAATACAAAGAAATACAAAAATTGACTAAGATATTTACTATTCCATGTGCATTTAAAATCCAAATTATAGGCATAAAATTGCATCTAGTGAATTTAAAATTACTTTTACATGAAAAAAATAAACATAAACTTTTGCTGAATGAATCGTTGGTCATAAAGACTATTGATGTTGTTTTGTATCATTTTATATAGGGAAATTTGACAAACGAATATTTCTCCAAAAATAAGGAGTGTCGATTAGTAACAATTTATACAAAATCAATAATTTCAAACGTCTCCACAATTCAGATTTTAAATAAATATTTGATTGATTAAATGAATGATCAATGGTCTCACGATGGTTCTTTGACTTTTCATCTCGAAGTTTTACAGACAGCATCGAACTCTAGGCAGCAGTCATTCATTTGCAATGCACCCAGTAGTGGCGTAACCAAGGTACGGCGGCCGCCGTATCTGTTGGTACTTTCACCGTACCCACTGCAGAATTTGGCAGACACTACCTCCAAAAAGTTTAGGAAGGCGGCACGGCCACCGCCGTATCTATAGCCAGTTTCTGGTTACGCCACTAGCACCCAGTATTGTTTCACCCGGTATATGATCACATACTAAATGAGAAAACACAGATTTAGAGAGCAAACATCAGGTTTTTTCGTTAAATTTTTTCGAATGTCTTCCCTTTCAACTAGATCTTTTTTTTTTCAGCGAAACTCCAACTTTTGATGCATCTCAACAAATAACTTGAAGTGTCCTGTCAAAGAATCTTTTTTAACCTAACTAATTGTCTTGTAGAGATTCATGATGATTTAACAGAACGATCCAAAACTACGGTCGTAGCAACGCAGTTTATCCCTTGCTACTTACTTCTTGAATTCTTCTTTCATGCACTTACATTCTGTAGACCCGTCACTCTTCTTCAAAATCAATCAGTATTCAGTGAAGAAAAGAGTGTTCTAACAGCCAATTTCT